ACACGACAACTCTGTAACTGCCAAGCCATGACGCACGTTCGTTTTTGGTGGGCAGCGACGAGATCGGCATGGGTGCTCGCTGCTAGAGCACTGCTTCAGATGGGTCGAAATTGAAGTCACAGCACCCTTGGCTGTCCAGAGCAACCGCAGATCAAGTTTAAGGCAAGCTTACTTGCAAACTAATAACTTACTCTAAGCATCCATTAGTCTCTGAACTTTGAACACACGTTGAGTGCTATGTCCTTTCAGGCTGTGTTGTGCACTGATGATCGCAGCTTGCCCAGAACAACCCCTGTCAGTCTAAGATCAAAATCGACAGCGTCCGGAGAATTCCTAGATCAAGTTGACGGCCTGATCTAGTCTTTAAACTTCGGTCTCTCAACTTTGAACACGGGTGAATTTTGCGTGCTATTTAAGTCCTTTCAGGCTGTATTCTCCAGTGGCATGCTGTCAGGACGACGACAGGACCTGCTGGCCGTTCACCGAAACATCAATGCCTCTAGTAGCGAGACTCGACTGTTTCCTCTGACAAGGCCTTAGCCCGGGCAGACTCAGAGCAGGTTACGCTTCCACCTAGCGGTCTGTGTGATTCCGGCCGCCCGGCCCCGTCGCGACCCCGTTTAGATAATGCGCTGACACTGGCCGGCTTTCAGCTGTAATCCTGAGCGCAGGAAGTAGACCGGTTTGCTGGCGCTCAGGAGTTTGTCTGTCTTGTACAGGCGAAACGACCAAACGCGCTTCAGGGGTGAGACACCGCCCACCAAAGAGCGCGTGTCGAAAAACGACGCCATGTTCCTTCCCGTCACGTTCTTCAGCTGAATGCCGTGGGGTTTAAACACCATGCTCGTGCCATCCTTCTTGGCGATCTTGAACCTGGGCTTTGCTGGGCTGTTCAGAGTCATGCCAACAAGTGCCCCTTACTCCCTGACTCAGTGCGCGCGAGTCGCTTGTCTTCCTTTTCCTTGGCATCGGAACCTTCAGCCGCCAACGTGCGGCTGCAGTCGTGGCCTGCAAGCTCGAAGTCCACCAGGCCTCCTGCTTCGATCTTGACGAGGAGCTGGCGCAGTGTCAAGACGTCCGTCGAGGCCTTGTTGTCTTCCTCATAGATCACCTGCTCAAGGTCGTTCTGCAACACGAAGTCCACAGATTTCTCCGGATGCTCCTGCAGCAACACTTCTGCTCTGAACACTAATTTAAGACCGAAGGTTTTTTTGTGCAAGTGACGACTGATGAGGAAGGATTATCGTTATTCCTAGCCGGTATGATGTGCCCTGATTTGGCCTCATGTGTCCATGAACTTTGGAACTATTTTCGAAGCCTTGCTCTTTAAACCTTGCAGAATCCCAAGCCCGGTGCGTCGCTCACCTTGTCTCAGTTTATCTTGGTAGATGGAATGGTCAGGTCTGCCGTTGCTGCGATTATCGATATCAAGTACTTTAACGCATCTTCGGGATCCAGGGCCCTTTCTTCGGGGCGTGAGGAAACAAGGCCTCTAATGCTGAAGATTCTACTGCGTGTGTTCAGTTTCTGACATTTCCCGATTACTGACCCGTCCTTCAGCCAAGCCGTGGCCTTCTGGTCGATGACCCAACCGCCTTGACCGTGGACCATGAAGGGCTTGTCGGTGCCGATGTCGCAGTCCGAGTCGGCGCATACGAAGAGCTTCGGCTCATCCTCGGCTTTGCCCACAATCTTGAATTTCACGCCGGCGCAACCCGTGGAGTCCACAGGGCAGGTGTGCAAGACGTCGGACTCCTTCAGCTTCTCGCTAAGACGCGGCTCCTCGGGGAAGAGCTTCTCCCAGTCCACAGAGTCTTTTGCTGGGCTGTCTGTCGCTTCGGTCGATCCCGCCGAGAAGTCCGCTGGCAGGCCATACATTGAGTCGAATCGCTTGAGGAAACTTCTCCATTCGGCGCTCCGCACTGCATCGCATAGGAACTCCTGGCGAATGGCAGGCGGGATCAAAAGGACATTGTCCGAGACCACGCAAATGCTCAGCTTCGGCAATTCGACTTTCTGTGGCATTTCCGCCAGCGGCGGATCCGGCACGTAGCGGGGGACAAGCTGGCCCATGTACCCCTCGCCCCGCTTCCATTCCTGCACTAGGACCGCAACCAAACCGGTAATCATCATTACTGCTGTCCAAATCAAGAGGTCGACTGACGTGATCAGGACTGTTGCATTCTCTCGCACACTAGGTGTGGGGTGTCGGCTTCCATGCATTGTTGTGCAGCTGAGCCTTGCTTGCTTGGGGCTGACAGTCAGCGGCAAATTTAATGACCAATCCTGCTGGCCGACCGGGAAGCATATGTTTCCAGACTCCAAAAATCACTGCTTGTGCGAAACTGCTGCCCACTAGACTTAGACAGTTGGACTCCGAGTGCTTTAATTTACATCCAATACACATCTCTCCACTGTCGAGCATCCACGGAACGACAAACGACTCTGGACGACTGACTCTAGCTCCTGTGCGGCATTTGCCAGGGTCTGGACGTGCCAGCCAAGAGACTGAGGTTAGCACTTGGATAATTGCGAGTGCCATGCTGCTGCAAACTGCCCTGAGCCAATTTAGGCNNCGCATGTGAGTTGTTTTAGCATACATTCTCCAAGCGATTCATTTTCATGTAAGTCTCAAACTAGGAACTGAGGATTCTGCCTGGGCACGTTCGTTTCTTTAACACAAGCTTCTCAGGTTGCTAGTTGGGCACGCTGGTTTCTTTAGCACACATTATGGTTGAGAATTTTGTAAGTTATGTGCTGAACCACATCCTCCTGTGTCCTGGCGTCAGTAAATTATCGACTTCGAAAATTTGCAAGAAAAGACAACCCTGCATCAAGATCGCTAGGACATTCTTTCATGCATTGACAATTGTTGTCACTTGAAGCTTGACATCGCACGCATGCCATTCGGAATGTTGTGGCATGTTCTTGAGCAACACGCTTTCATTCATAACTTGCGAACACGACTTCAATGTTGTGCGATTTCTGCCCACATGCAGCACGAACTTTTGTGTTCTGAGGCCTCTGGCTCCTAAAAACACGGCTGTAACGCTGATTCAAAAGTCGGATTCTCGAACAGGAGTGATGCCCCGCCCACCAAACCCATGGTGCCTCCAAGAGAGCCTGCCCAACAGTGGACGCGGCGAAAGACAGCACAGCTGAGGTGTCGGTCATGCTGATCACGGGGATGCCGTGCTCGTAGCAGACACGCTCCAGGCATCCGTCGTACATCGTCGTGTTGATCACGATAACTGGCTTTTTGCCATCCGCGACACCCAGACTCTTGAGGATCGCCGCTGGGACGGCGGATCCGCCCAGCCAC